CGCTGTTTGTGAATTTATTGGTCCATCTCAGTGTGAAAAGCCTGGAATTAATAGAAGATATGCCACATTTAAACTGATGTGTGTTGTTTACTATAAGTAACTTTCATAATCATAAAATAAACAGTTCTTTAGTTTCTAGTTATTTGCAGAAAATATGTGTGATGCTTAGATTTGTTCTTTTATCAAGAATACTGGTGAGGAAAAGGAGGAATAAATCTTTATACTGTCATAGTTTTGTCTTTTAAAGTTTGTTTTCAACATACGTTTTATTTTATAGCATAGCAGGGTACTATAAAAATATTTGTGCTTTAATATTCTGAAACTTTTGATAGCCAACAAAATGTTTTATTGTCTTTAGGGTAAATAGAAGAAGAGTAACTAAAACTTTATTTAGCAAGTCTTAACATTAAGATATTCAGCAAAAATTCAACAATTGTACTTTAATTATTAATGTATAAAAAGTAAAATAAACGTTTTTGTCCTCCATCCTTTCTATTACGCTTTTCATCCGTATTTCTTAACATTTTGTCCCTATTACGTGTTGTACTGTTAATCCCCACGCACCCTCGCGGTACACGAACGCAGCACGCCTGTGCAGCTCGCTGCGCGTGGTCTTCTCACGCAGACGCAAACACGCACATCTGGTGGGAAGTGTGAAAGGCCGTTTCGGGGCTTTACTGACACTTTCTCACTTTTACTCACATTTATTTGCTTCTCGCTTCTAACTCCGAGGAATCTTGTTATTAAATTAAAAATGATAAAGTCTCGCGGAGAGCGGGCATCAAGGTGAAGTTCGCCACACTTGCAGGGACTTCTGGTTTTCTGTAGGAGATTTAACCGGTTTGTGTTTTTATGCGGTGGACAAGAGGAAGATTTGATTATGTCAGCTTTGAGATGACTTCTAAAAGACACTCGGCGAAACTGAACCTCCGACGGTCTTTCAGCGATCAGCTGCGGAGCTCCACGTCTAAAGCCTGGGATTTGCTCTGGAAGAATGTCAGAGAGCGGAGGCTGGCAGGTCAGTAACACGCTTCAGGCGAACCCTGGTGGCGCTTCAAGGGGGTAGTGATGCAGTACGGTACCCATTTGACAACTTTTTCATTTTCACATTTTCGTGCAAACATTTCAATTTTTGGAGGGCATGTGTCAGAATGACATGACATTGGAAAGAAATCATCCTTAAATATGGTTGTAATTTGCATGAACCCCCTTTCCCCCATATATTTAAACGTTGGCAAGCTAATCCTGCGACGTACGTACTTTATTATTTCATTATGTTTGAATAAACACATGAATGGACATTTATAGTTACGTCAATAATGCAGTGTATGCAAAGTTTTTTTGGTCTCACGAGCTAAAAACACTGAAAGTAACATAAGGACGTGCAGGAAATTCTTGCCAGTATTTGTGTTGGTTTTTAACTCAACTTTCTGCAGAATAAATAATCACAAGCTTGATAACACCACATGGGAACGCTAATGCATAATGTTAAGGTGAAGTACTTTTACTAGCCCCATTGTGTTCTTCAAAAAAGGTATTTGTAGAATTTTATTACCAATCATGTCTTACAGGTTGCCATACACGTTATGCAAACTTTATTGTTCTTGTGCACATTTCATCAGCACTTTGTATATTTCTCAGCCATGTTATAGAGATAAGAGACTATGCAAAGTGTTTCATCAGCTGCTCTGTTGAATATAGACACAGCTGCAAATAAAGCGTTCCAGAATTTGAATCCCAAAGCTACTGTCTATCCAGAAGGACAAGAAAGTAATACTGCTTTTCATATTTCCAAATTTATTTAGTTTTTATTTTCTTCTGCCACCATCAAGCATTTGTTTTTACAGGAACATTTTTTAAACCAAAACATGCAACAAATTATGTAATATCAAGAAAAAGAAAAACATTATAGAGAATGCGCTTAAGTGAAATGAATAAAAAGTCATGTTCAATGCCTGGTATAATGGTCAAATTGATAACTTCAGGGTGAGAATAAAACCTTTGTAATTGCTAAAGTTAACCACTAGATGCAGTAAACTGACAACACCAGCATCTCATGTGGGAAAGTCATATGAATTACGAAACAACTCGCTCTTCATCAGGCATGCTGAAGTCATACTAACACGTACCAGATGTGTTACGTGATACAATAACTCGCTGGTGTGCTCTTTTTTTGTTTAACTTGATTTGGAGTTCCTTTTTCAGCTTTCCCACACAGTTGTGTGTAGTGTGTGTGAAGTTTGACGTGTGCTTGGCTCGGCTGTGCAGCCTGCTGGGGCTCAACGCCGGTGATTGAGGCTCAGTGTGTGTGATGTCTGGAGAGTTGACATGGAGTGTTTTAAAAGTGAAGGATGAGTGCCACACAGTCTGCATTCCTGCAGCCTTCACCTGCAAACGCGGACCTTTAGAATAATGTTAAAAGCTTCTATGTTTCGTGGCACAGTTTTTATCTTTATATATTTCAGCAAAAATCGGCGATTAAATGTGGAAACCTATTTGAGTTTTGCAGGCGGACAGCTGGAAGCTTCTTTTTCAGAGCAGATGTTAGAGAAATTTGAGGGAGGTACAGAATTTTGTTCAGGGTTGAGGCACTGATGGGCCATTTCTGGCTCATCAAAGATAAATCTGGCCAATTTAAGATGAAATTCGTGTGTGGCACTTTGCAGAAGGTGACCCACTTACAGCTAAAAACTGATAGATGGCAGCTGTCTCAGGATGTCACAAAGAGAGAGAGCGCTCCGTGAAACATTCCTGCCAAAGCACAGACTCCAGCCTGCCTCGCTGACTGAAATATGGACCAAGCTCTTCAGACTTTTGAGACTGTTTAGCATTTTATTTTTGTAACTTGGTTGTTGTGTAGAGTAAAATTGTACACATTTTTGATTAACATATGTTAATTGAAATTAGATACTGAAAGAAAGAGAAGAATGTGTGCTGTTGATAAATAAAGTGAAATACGTATCACTTTTTCTCAGTATAAATGTTTGACTTTTAAATGGACAGCATTTATAAAGTGCTTACTAGGGTTATGCAGCTCCCCAAGTAACTTTACAACAAATCAGTCATTCACCCACTCACACACACAGTCACAAGCTGGTGGTGGTGAGCTACATGGTAGCCACAGCTGCCCTGAGGCTGACAATTCCCAGACTCGACAATTCTCTCTGACCACCACCTGCAGGCGGGAGGGTGGTGTCTTGCCCTAGCCTGGCCTGCCAGACTCGTCCTCTGTTTAATTCTGCACAAAGAAAGAGTCTGGTAATTCACAGGCAGAGAGGCACTTGAGGGGCGAGACTAGGCAGCTCAAAAATAACCAATCACAAAAAAGACGGAAATGCCGACTGTACCGTGTGGCGCTGTAGTTTTTTAGCTGTAGTAAAACAAGGCGTCTGGCAACGGCGCAAACATCTTTTATGTTTTTAGAAGGAAGGCTTTTAGCGCTTCTTCTTCTTGTGGTTTAAGACATTAAAGTCATTTAGAACAGAGGAAAGAGCCGCAGCGAACTCCGTCGCTGTCTTCGTTGTTTATGAGAAACAGCGTCGCTGTGTTTGACATCCGTGACGCTGTAGTTGTTCAGCTGTAGTCAAAAATGGCGTCTGGCGACATCGCAAATGTCTTTCTTTAGAAGAAAGGCTTTTAGCGCTTCTACTTTTTGTTTTAAAGACATTCAAGTCATTTAGGACAGAGGAAAGAGCCACAGCGAACTCCGCTTTAGTCGCCATGCTCGAAAAACTCGGCGTTACGGTGTGTGACGTACGCTACTAAGCGCGGATTGGCTCGTTTAAAATTCTCACGGGGTGGGGTTATTTGAATAGGAGACTTCCCAGACCCTTCCTCTGTGCAGAATCAAACAGAGGAGGAGTCTGGCAGGCCAGGCTAGTCTTGCCCAAGGACACAAAAACTGTGACAGACTGTCTTAAATCTGTACCCCTCCAATTAGGGGGCATGCTCTGAACTAGAGGGCTGCATCGGGATTGGGTCCCGCGGGACCCAACACAAATCTTGCGGGGGCGGGCGGTGTGAACTTTGCTGAGGGCGGGAACGGTCGGCTAAAAGAAACAGTGCGGGATCGGGATGAGTATGATGGAGTCGGCAACTGATGTTGAAAAGAAGCTGAAACAAGGTCTTTAAGACACAAAAACCAAAGCAAGGCAAGTCAGACATTTGGAGGAGTTTCTCTGATTGTGTTAATATTTCTCATTCAGGTCTCTCTCAGAAAAGCGACCTTGATCACTGCCTGATTAGAGAGGAGAATAGAATATGAAACGGCCTTGATTTCATTATCCCTTTAAGCACCACACAGTAGCTCCTTTATGTTTTTTTTTAAAGAATTTTATAGTTTAAGTAGCGAGGAGTTATTTGAAATCACATGCGCTGAGGCGTCACCGGTGATCCTGGTGACGCATCGGCGTTAAAGGATTAAAAACTAAATGAAAACAAAGTGTGTCAATCCTGACCAATGTGTTAAAAGACGTGCAGGATCCGATTAATTTGTTTTTCCCGCATTTACAGTAACGGGAAAACAGTTAAAAGCAGGGCTTGTGTTGTGTTGACCGGATAATTCCCGCATTTGACCGTTTATTTTGACGGAGAAAGAATAGAAAGAATTACCCCAACGCATGCAGACGAACTGACATTTTATTTGTTACGCACATCGCAGATGTAGCTAAATCACTCCAGAAAAGATTCCCATCTGAACATCTGAGCGGGACACTGCTCAGCGCAGCTCGCTGTCAACATGTACGTACGGTGCACTGCAAGCTGAAGATGTGGAGAGGGGCTTTGAGTTCGTCGCAGAACCAGAGCGCATGCTTTGGAGTCCTCTGACTGTGAAAGGTGCATAAAAATGCAGGTCATTTATCATTTATTTATGCACATTTCCTTGTAAGTATCTGAAACATTGCCTCACTGGCTCACTTCTAGTTCCTGAAGTTGGTGCACCAGTGCTCCCCCCCCCCCCCCCCCCCCTGAGTATGACTAACAAGGCATTCATTCCTACTAGAGACCACTGTGAATGTATTGATTAAATGAGTGAACAACATCTTTAAGTACTCTGTTGATACTTCTGAGAATGCTCTCATTGCTTCTAACAAAGATCTGACCCATCACCCCATTTCTCCCACTATCAATTGTAAATAAGACACCAAGACTTAAGGCAAATATACTGTGTTGGGTTTCTTGTGTTTATGTTCAGCGAACTTGAGTCTTGAAAGCGCTTACAAATAAAATTTCTTCTTCTTCTTCTTCTTCTTCTTCTTCTTCTTCTTATATAATCCCCTACAGCCTGTATTACTCCTTTTGCCTGGTTTCCAATCACAACCACAGATTTTAAGGAGTTTTAAGTATTAAAGTATAGGTAATCCTGGAAAATAATATTCAAGCAAGCTGCATTTTGGGTAAACATCTTAATTGTTCCACTTGCATCATACCAACCACCAAACCAAAAGGGTGCTGTGATTGGCAAAAAGCAAAACATATCGGGCCAATGTTAGACCTGCTGATGTTACAATGGAGTGTAGCTGGACCGACATGCAGAACACAATCATTTTGCTTCGGCTAACATCTGTCTAGATTTCTAGGCTATGTCTACTTTCTAGTGGATAATGCATTAATCACTTTATTCATCTAGAATATTACGCTAAACTAGACTTGCGCTATTAATGCATGATATTCAGTGAGGCCTGAGTCCAGAATTCAGATATATAATGGCTCCTGAGTTGAAAATCTTGTGTAATGTTAGGGCTGTTCTTAGGTTTTACCACAGGAAACATATCCACATTAGAACCAGGGCTGTCCAGTTCAGATTACGTGTGTCTGCTGCTCAATTAAACCACATCACAGCTGTCTAATGCCACAACTTGGTCTCAGGATGAAAACAAGTTTCCCCCTGTAATCACACCTGGCTGAGGCTGAGTGGAAATGATTGAATTGTTGTGAATCCAGCAATAAATAACGGTATTATCCCAGTTAATGCATGATAGCATGATAATGAGGATGTCACTATATATAAAGTGGATTTTGTTTGCAAACAGGTTGACTCTGAATTCAGTTGGTCATTTTTCACATCTAGCTGTTCTCTCACTGCCTGCATGTTGACGAACAATCAGAAAAGGCTTGTGGAGCCCGCCAGCCCCTCATAGATCTTTGGTTTGTTTGTAACGTGAGTCTAGATTCCTGCTTCCATGTTGTGTAGTAGCTGAGCACTGAAACCCAGACCGAGACATGCTGGAACATGTTTGATAAGGGCTCCCTCTTAGGACAGACTCAGACCACAGTCATGGCATGCAGCACACAAGGGCATCTCTGAGCGCACAGGAAACTGTTTAAGCTCTTTCACAATCCCTGCTGAGCTATTTAAAGGCGCACTGCGATGATGCCACCATTAATCTTGTTGCTTGGGGGTGATTGATTCTGTAACGCGATACATGTGATCGTCTCGTCTAGACTAGGAAGGAAATAAAAAGCAGACTGGTTCAGGGAGCTTACCTGCTTACACTACCACTCAATTTTGGATTCAGACAGCTCAGATGAATGAATGAATGAATGAATGAATGAATGAATGAATGAATGAATGAAGCTATTAGTGTGTGTAAAAATAAAATGAGTCACCATCTGATGAAATCATCTGAATGGAGCCGCACCGTCACCCGGTGCTTTTAAGAGCAACAGTCTTATTAAAGCAGCTCCACTCAAGGGGTGTGGGGAGGGCCATTAAACCCTGGAGAAGTTTATGAAAATGTGCAGCAGGCTCTGAAGTGTGCTGCTGAATTGTGGGCTTTGTGAGCTTAAGCTAGGGTGGATTTTACCAGCCAGAGAGAGGAACAGACAGGGGCTGTGTTTAGCTTGGTTACTTGCCCATTTGTGCTCTTTTCACGTGTATGGCGCCATGCTTATACTTAACAGGCGGGCTTGTATACTGAGGGTGAAGTGGGGTGGTAGATGTGGGCTTTATTTTGAGCGTGAAAAGAATTTTCTTTTATGCTGTTAACCAGCTAAGATGCCTTTTAAATCTGAGAAGTTTTAATTTTATTGTAGGGCTGCACGATATTAGGAAAACCTGTGATATTCGATAACAATGATTAATATTGCGATGACGATATTAGTTACGATAAATAAAAACTTAACTCCGGAACAAAAATAATCAAAAACAAAGAAATACAAAAATTATAAAAATGAGATAAGCTAAAGATGTGAGGAAAGGGAAAAAGAAAATGAACAAGAAAAGGCAATCAGTGGATCCACGGAAAAGAAGAATCAGCAAAAAGAGCAGAGCAAAGCTGACTCAGGTGTTTGCTAACAATCGGAATTAAGTGCCGTCCGCCTCAGGGGCGGGCATCTAACCTATGAGAACCCACCCATTTGGCCAAATGGGTGAAGAGCACGTTTTGATTTGTTAAAAAAACATCATGCTTTTGTTTGACTGACAGAATGCATTATGTGTAGCAAACATTTGAGCTGACCATTCATTGCGATATTTATCTGTTGTTTGTGATATGCATAGTGTGCATGCTGATATCACGATAATGATATATTTACGATATATTGGGCAGTCCCAGTTTATTGTGAAATTTCATCTTGAGTAGGTTGGTGTGGGTAATGTTTTGATTTAAAGGAAAGTAGTCATTGCTTCTTTATATTCCAAACAAATGTTATACTCAAAACAATTTACGAGTTTGTGAATGCATAATAAAAAAAGCATACTTTTTTTTTTCTGTAATTCTTAAGTATAAATCTTTATTGAAATCTTCTTTTAACCCAAAGCGGAGGTGGGGGAGATTGTGATGGTATTAGTTTGTAAAGGATGGAAACATTTTCTTAGAGATCATACCTACATGCTAGGGCAGGGCAATAAATCGAAAATTTATCGTTATTAAAATTTCTGAATCTTATCGAGATACTTTTTCCCATGTCAATAAATTAGAAAATTAAAAAATGAAAATATGTGTGTTGGTTGGCAACGTTCATGTCCCTTTAAGAGGTTGTACCACCTGAGTCACATTAAAATGTGATTCAATGTAATGCATGTGACAGCCCCATCAAGTGGACAACTTTTGTTTCTGCACACACCTGTAGTTATCACCATTTTATCATTATTGTGGTGAAATCCTCAATATATCGTGATATTGATTTTAGACCATATTGCTCAGCCCTAATACATGAAGTTCATGTTTATGGACTGTTTCTGTCCGGGCAGCTTTTGATGTGACGCACACTAAGCCTGATCACTTCCTGTTTGACGTGTTCCTTAAAATAAAGAAACTAATGCCAAATTTATTTGTACTTCATAATTTCTCACTTTGTTTTGTCCTTCATGACTTCATAGTGAGACAGTGATACACATATGTGCCTTTTGCTAGCTTTGGCAATACGTTAGTATTCCTAGCGCATGTTAGCATAAGGCAGCTAATGCTGTGTCTACCTCAGCTGTGGTCTGTAGTGTGACATAATCAAGGAGAGTAGGAGATTTACCAGCTATTGACCCTTTGCACGTGACGTCACGCCACTCATGTGACCGCCCCCGTCGCCATGATGGACGGCAAAAAGACCGTTTACACCCATAGAAACTCCTGTGAAGCTAGTCAAAACAAGCCACTTTATAGCCTTTATTATCGCTTTTATTTAGTTGATTTGACAGTAAAATGGTTTTAGCTTGCTGCGTGGTTGGCTGCACTAACAGACAAGGATGTAAACTCAACTCGTTTTTTCTTTTTAATAACTTTGATGGAGACTGGACGGAGATGAACTGCAGCGATCAATCAAGCGGACTAGCAGCCCTCAGATTTGCAGCGAGCATGTTTTTACCGGGTAAGATTAACGTTCATTTATTTCAGGAGGAAGATGGGGACAGGGATAGATGTGATGTGTTTATACAAGTTATTGATTATCCTGATGGATGGGTATTTCACCACTGTAGTGTAAAGCGAGACAATTATTAACAATATTAAACTCCGACATATGATTACGTGTGTTAAAATTACGTTATTTATTTATGAGTGTCCGGTATGAGAGCAGCAGCTGGACCCGGTAACACCACCAGCAACAGAAGCTGGTAGGGATCCGGACTTTTTAAAAATCAGCTTTGGTGTAAAGTGAAACGCTGTTTATAACATAAAGTTATAAATCCAGCGGGGTGAATTTAGGCAAAGTCAGCAACATGTTTACATTGGTGAACAGCTGCAGAGAGAACGTACGCTAACGTTGGTAAGCTAGTTAGCATACCGCTCTCTATGAGCCCCCGCTAGATGCGCTACTTCTTCTGAGAACTGAACTGGGCGTGAACTAGTTGAAGGAATGCTGGAGGAGTTTTGTTTTGGTTTTGATCGCAAAAACAATTTCAGGCTCTACTTTTCCCTTTGTTTAGTACTCGTGTTGCTCACTGTTTACATGCTTTTGCTGTCCACCATGGTGGACCCACGTGATTAGGTGACGTCGGTGCAAAGGGTCAATAGGTATTGCCCCTGCTCCCCCTCCTCTACTGGAAGGAGCTGAAAGACACGCCTCTTACCACACATACGCAGGGAAACTGGGGTCAACAGAGACATAGAATAGCGTGATGCATTGCAAGGTTGAATGCTACGCTAATCAATTGGCTCCAATGCCCAAAAGATTTACAGACTGAAGTTAGTTCAATGCAGGTGGAGGTAGCATTCACGCTAGCATTATATTAGCCTACAGTAAATGTAGCATACAGCAGTTATCTGCAGTAGAAGGCAGTCAAAGAATCAATTCTGTTGTATTTGTTTTGGGTGCTTCATTGCAAATCTCCGGCCTTTTACGGGATCAGCCTGTAGTGCATTCTGGGAACTGGGATGCATTCTTGTTGATTGACAGCCCCCTCTTGTGGGTACTCAAATCTATTGGTCAACGCTCTAGGCTAAATGATTCATTTTGCTTTAGAGGTCAGGGGAGTGACTTAGGGCAAAAATAAATTATGAACGATTACCAAATTCATATCAAGGTCTGATAGTCAAATGTGAGTATTGTTCAACTTACTTAAAAAACAATGTACCCTAGCTTTAATGGGCTTGTAATACTTAGTAACTTGTCCAAACAGAATTTTATTTTGCAACTGTCAGTAAACAACATGGAAGTGACTTGTTCATTCAGCCTTAAAGCAGTTTTTTCCTCTGGAGCTGCTGTGTGGAGGTGACCCACTGAGAGGGCTTCCTGTCACTGTGAGTATGGTGTGGTGGGGGTTGGGGAGCAGAAATTGGCCTTCCCAGACCCTCTCAAAAATAAAAAAAAACAGCTTCTCTCTACAGTTTTCTCTATATTGGCCCTCTTAGCCAGTAAATTTGGCACCTGTGTCTTGAGCAACAGAAGAAGAGTTGTTCTAGAACCGGATGTGTCTAAAAGCCACTATTTTTCCAAGCCTTCCCACGCCCTACATCATCCACTGCTGCTCCCCTTACTCAGTTCATAGGCATTCCAGTGGTATTTATATTTCCCTCCAGAGCAGGGGGAGGCTGACAAGACAACACAGACTTTGGATTCAGCTCAGCGAGGTGGGCCGTACTTCCACTTCCTTCTTGCAATTGGTCTTCTTTTTCGTCACATGGCCTGTGAGGAGTGAAGAGCTGGCACTCCTCCCCCTGTCCCTCTCAGCTCACTTCGGGCTTTTGAGCATGCATGTGACGTTTCCTGTTGTGTGTGTATGTGTGTGTAAATGAGGCACTGGATAGGCGCTTGTTTGGGGTAGAGTATTACAATTATGTTTCGTGACTCCACGGGCAACAAGTGTCTGAGCAGCATGACCCCAGAAACTCAGGATATCTATCTGAGGATGGATCACCACCGCAGGCGATCGGGCTACAGGCTGGGCAGGATTATAGCCAGGCAGCAACTGCTGAAGAGGATTGCTGGAGGTAGGAGATGTGTGACAGCAGTGTCTGTCACCTCATGGACATGGTCTGCTGGTAGTGTTTTCTGTGTTCTGTCCAGGATGACTGGTTGATGTGCACACAATCAGTCTTCTGTTTATGAATGCATGTGTTAATTTTGTTTTGTAAGTTCCTTTAACTTTGAAGCTGCTCCACATTAAAATGGAGTTTTGAGTCTCATGAGCAGTGCTTCTCTGGCTGGTTTGTGCAAGTCCCTGACAAGATGTTTTTGGACAGAAGTGACAACTCCACCCTTTGAGTCTGAAACTGAGAATGATGAAAACTGAGAAACAACCTAACAAACGTGGCTATTTTTGTCAAATTTCAGTTTTGTTTTAGGATAAATGAGAACTTTTGATGATACTTAAAGGGGAAACGGATGGGGGAAATGGGGATGTGCTTCAGGTGTCATTGCAGGAAAAAGTCAAACTTGACCTTTAATTAATTGGTAGTCAAGGGTGAAGCTGCAAATGAGTAGAACCAAACAGTGATAGATGATAAGCTGTAGGATCACAAGAAGAGCTGCACCCTGAGTGTAAACAAGAGACTTATCAATAAATGTCTTGCATGGCAGTTTTACAAGCCCTTAACTCATTTGTAAACGGCGCCTCGAAGCCAGAAGAGCAATTGCAGTGTTTTGTTCTCTGCGGTAGGGCATGACCTCTCCTTCTGCTTTCACCATGACCTTTAACCTCTTATATTTGCCTTTACCTGGGGCTTAAAGCCACTCCCTTGAGGTCAGGAAGAGGTAGGGCTTGGGTGAACAAATTGCTGTGACTCCTGGTTCCTCCTTCAAGTGTGAACAGCCTGATGTTGGATGAAAAGCTACAGTAGCCGGAGGATCTCCAGAAGTTCTTCCTGTCTCACTGACAGCAGCATGAGTCAGACAAAGCAGCTGACTGTGTGGGTAAGATCTCCTCTAATCACAGAGGACTGGGGGAAAGCTCAAGCTGCTTTTTAAATAAGGGTGATGTTGAAGATACAGAATGCTTGTTTTCCTGGAGCTGTTTGTTTTTTTAAAATAAGTGTACAATCTGATGTTTGGTGGCCTGTGATTTTAGATGAAAGATGTCAGTCTGACAGTAAGCCAGTGAATAAAATCTCTCTTCTGGAAGGGTTGTTATTATCCATTGACTTATTACCTAATTGATAGAAACGACACAACCTCTGATTGAATTGATGACAGTCTGATAAATGACTTAGTATGTTTTGCATTTTTCCACAATTCTCTCTGATTCCCACTATAAGCCTTTACCCACCCTGTGCGTTGTTTGAAATGCAGGATCTAACAGTGATTTGTGTATTTTGAGGGCCTAGTTTCCGAGTTTCGGAGTGGAGCTTGTGGTGACTCCTGCATTCCAGTTGGATGGCCTGTTCATGCTGTGGGTTGATCCCAATGATGGGCGGAATTACTCACATAATGTCTCATCCCAAGTTAGTTTGAAAGTGAAAGTTTATTTCAAAATTTTCTATATTCTGCATGATTCATAGCCATTTTCCCTATGTCAATCATTTGGAGGGGTGCATATTTATTTTTAGCCTCAGCCCCACGCCCATCCTAGGAGTCTCAGGACTTCTGAATCATTTAATCTTTGGAATAAATAAAACAAAACCAGTGCACTAGAGTGGAAACAGCATTATTCTCACTAATTTGTGTTCATAGGTCAAATATCGTTTATAAAATCAGTGGTTGTCACTGACTATCCTCTTGTTTTGTAGACTAAAATCTCAACAGCCAGCTAAATAACAGACCACTCTAAGTTTGTCCAAGTGTTTCCATTTAGCCAAAGGAAAGTTCTGGAAAATTCGTCAGCATTTTGATGGAAACCCAAAGCTGCAAAAAAAAAAAAAAAAAAAAAAAAACGGCAGTGTGACTAAAAGTTTGACTGACGACTGCTCCTTGGTGATTCACTGGGAGGCGGTTGGGTCTCTTGATTGTAACCCGTTAACAGCTGTTCTTCATGACTTTCCAACTGACAAAAGACCATCAATCACTTCATGCTGCTACGGTTGAAAAGCCACAACCCACTGTATCTATGAATGTGTTTATGGGTAAATGACTCAGGCTATTGCATACCAGGTATGTGCATATCATCTTTTATAATGTTGACATAGCTGAGAGTCTTTTGTCTCTCTGGTTATTGAGCAGTCAGCCACATGTTAACTGTGTAGATGGTTTCAGAACAAACACGCTAACTAGCTAGAGTGCACAAAGCCCAGGTAACACTGTGCAATTTTTGACTGTTGCAAAGGACCGCTTCATGTCACACTGTAAGGACTCTAGAGAGGGGGCACTATGTATGGTTTAAGATTTTGGTGAGCCAAAACCGCACGTCTCGCTGTAGCAGGATATGCTAATGTCATGAGCATACTCGCTAAAAAGCGTATGTTGCTAATTGCCAAAAGATACCCAAGACAACAACAATGAACAGAGAAAAAAGTGCCAGCAGTAACACATCTTTTATTAGATTCCAAACCAAACTCTGAAAGAAGTGCTCTATATGTTCTTGCATGTAGCCTCCACTGTTGCTATGTTACTAATGCTAATCTCACATTGTACTCTCGACCTAGCTTCACTCCCTGGTCACTGACTGAGTGCAGACCAGCGCCGTAGGTTTTCTGACACTGCTTGAAGTAGGGCTGCGCAAAATGGCCTCAAATCAGTATCAGGATATAAGGTGTGTTCCCATAGTCGAAACTTCAGGGTAAATTCTGGGAGGGGGAAATTTACTGGGAGATACAATAGCCCGGTCCTTTCAGCTGTTGTGTCTCCATACAAATTCCACCCTTTCAGGACTTTGCACAGATGTCAGAATATTGCAACTGATTTGGCACAGTGAAGTCACTGATCAGCACCAAATAGCATCCATAGTAACATTAAAAGTTTTATTCTGTCAAATTATGGAGAGGACTGGGAGTGCTGCTGTGATGTAAAATGTGGCGTTCAATGACCAGAGGAAGTGCAGTTTTTTATGATGCTCTGTGAAACAACAATGCCCTGTGAATTACGTCGCTGTGGGGGGATTTTAGCTGCGTTTTTGGGTGTTGGGAGTTTAATACAGCGATTTTGAAACATGGAGTCATGTGACGCTGCCCCATGCAGTTTTTAGCACAACATCTTAAAGGAACATGAACATCAGCAACCAACACGCATCTTTTTTTGTTCCAAAATACCTAAAATATCGACATGGGCAAATGATGTTGGTAATAGACATACATTTTAGTACTGATACAGTTTGGGTATATCGCCACCCCTAGCATAATGACTGTTGGAGGCTGAATTTGGTTGTGAGATGCTCATGAAGCTGTTGCTGGGCCGGCCACACTAGACAACCACAGACCTGCAAATCATCCTCACATTTACCGTTTTTGGTCACAATTCTGTTCACGACAAGGGATTTGTTTAGGATGACTAAACAACGCACAATGTGGCACAGGCATAAGAGACTGAGGACCACTGGATGGTGATTTTCCATGACTGCCTGGTGTTTATTCATGTTTAAGGCTAATATTCAAGGCTTCTATTTAACAATATATATTAATTTTCTACATTTCTGGTGTTTACTTACTGAACCGACATAAAGCTCCTGGACTAGTCACTGTATAACCCAACATTGAATTATTGAGAATTTACATTCAAACATGTATTTTGTGTGATGCACTTATAGCACCGACTAGTTTGTACTTCTTTCATTCTGATGGAACAATGAGTTCTCGCGATAACACTAGATGTGTCTGACTTGTGTTTTCTAATCAAGTTCAGTATTAAAATTTGCCAACATTGTCTGGCTTTTAATGTCACAATATATTGGATCATCTCCACTGTACTAGGATATCTATCACATAGCCAAATTCTTGCCAATACACACCCCTTTTACAACTATTATAGTGATTTTACACGAAGGTTATAAAAAGTCTAAAACTTAGTTAAAACATTAGAAGACAGGAACACTTCATCCTGTTAAAAGGTGAAACTGTTCTGTTCGTTATCCAGCTGCTGCTGGTTATTGTTTGAAAACACTTTTCTAAAGGGAGTTTATGTTTTCTGTTTGAGAGGCTGCAACATTAAAGGATTTTCTTTTTCAAAATAAAGTTACACTTTCTGTATTTTCTTCTCAAAACTCTTAAAAAACTGCTTTGTTCGTCAGCTGCATCATGTGGTACATTTGATCCAGTTAATAAAAGTTGTATTTATCTTCCTCTTAGGGATGTAATAATAAATGTTCATAAGCAGCAGATTTGTATATCACTCAGCTCCGATAAACATTTTTATTAGGGATGGGCAATATATGGGCATCGATATTGGTATCGGCCAATGTTAGTCATTTTTTAACATATCGGTATCAGTCCAATAAATAAAACCAGGCCGATATTAACAACCGATATTTTTTCCATCTTGTCTCCATTTGTTTGCCTGTTTCCGGGATGGGGGGTGGGGGTGGGGGGTGGGTGTAATTGTTTAGTCATGTGAACAGTGATTGTAATCAATTGAGAAGCGTAAATGTGTGTGGTGTGTGTACATAATGTCAATTCGGCTTTGGTAATTTTCATTTTATACAAAATTGCTAATTTTAGAAGCATTAATGTCAGTATATCGGTATCGGCAAATATCTGTTATGGGCCATAACAGTGATAATATCAGATACTGGTATCGGCCCAAAAGTTTCATATCGGTGCGTCACTTAATTTTTATTGTTTATTAAAATCACGCTGCACTGTGGAAGTGTTGGACTAGTAAACACGGACATAGATTTGTGGAGCTACTTAGTCATCTATTAAGTATTTTTTATAATTTTATTCTCCCCTTTTTTGATTTGTAGTTCTGTTCTGTAGGAAAATTGTTTAAACTGCAGACAAACACTACTGGACATTTCCTAAATTATAGGTTGTTCATGGAAAAGCATGTGGTTTGATGCTTGGTGAAACAGTTTGTTACAATCAGTGTAAAGCTGTGGAAAGTTGACGTGCTGTGTGGTGTTCGGACA